CTGGGCATTGAAAAGAGTCATGTGATCGCGGTTGGTGTTGACGTCATTCGCCACCTTCGCTTTTTCAATGACGAACGACTCGCATTGACATGGGAATATCCGATCTGTCCGCTTACATGGCAGGTGCAAATGCACGTATCTGATTCATATCAGATTTATTTCCACGAATGAATGAGGCCTTAAACTGATCTGAGAATATCGCGCATACCATACCATGTGCTTTTTTTCTGCTTACAAGTTCATGGGTCCGATCTGTGCCACATGGGAGGAAAACAATCAAAATTGGGTCACTTGAACCATGTATTGTAAATGCAGCCTTAGAGACTTTCTGAGCAGGCTTTAGCTACTTTCCATTGAAAATAACTGCTTAGAAACCGCATAGCTGTTCCCTGGAAACCACCCATAACCCCTTGACATCAGTTGTGCAAGTACTTGCAACGCTTTCTTCAAATAACGTAAAACTTTCAGTTTCAAATCTGAAATCAGAGGTCAATGGGAGGATGGACTATGACTTGGCAAGTACACATTCAGATGAATTTTGTAGTTTGTGTTCATTCTTGTCTTTCATGGTATTTCTTTTCTATTTTATTATCAATGAGGGTGCAGTAAACACACTGTCGACAGCACATATAAACAGTGTTGGGAGTAACACATTACAAGTAACGCGAGTTACGTAATCAGATTACTTTTTTCAAGTAACTGGTAAAGTAACGCATTACTTTTAAACAGAGCTGGGTAGATTACTTACAAACTGTAATCGGTTACAAATTACATGACAAATATTGTAGTTAGTAACGTAATCCATTACAATACACATTTAAGGTAATATAATCTGACTACTTTTGGATTACTTTTAGATTACTTTTGACCTAATTTGTTTATTACATTGATTTGAGTATAATAATCTTTTACCATATTGATATAAAAATACAAAGAGAAAGAAAATATATTCCATTCTTTGTCATCAACAATTTGAAGTGCATTCAATATTAAATTACGTCAAGGTTTCCAGACCGGGGTTCGTGATGCACTGCAGGGGGCTTGTGAGTTTAATGAAAAGCTATCAAGTAATTAAATAATATTTTTTTTTATTAAAATAAATAATTTAAAAATTAAAACAATAAAAATAAAACAAATCAAAAAAATATAATTTTCTTTATTTGTTTGGCTGCATGTCATGTGACCATTAAATGACAACTTAATTTTATTATTCATGATGTTATTTTTATTAACTGAATATTATGATTGACCTAACTTACAAATTAAAATCTCAGAGGGTATTTCAAGTAAATATATGACGACAAAGAAATTTCAGCTGACAAAAAAAGTTGGGGAATCCCTGCATTGCATGTAAATATGAAATGACGTAAATTTGTACATTTTAATATGTGTAGCCTTCCAAAGACATTAATGCATGCTTAAATATCTCACTGAAACTGAGTGATAATTCAAATAATAATGAATGTGTGAATCAGGAGTTGATAAGATATGCAATGTTGAGAAAACACTTGTTAAAAGTGAAATTATTTCTTTAAATTCATTGTTCAATTGCTGCGTAGTTCTCAGTTTTCAGCGATGGGCTGAATATTTGCGATTCCACAAACCCGGGAGACCTTCTGAACGTATACAAGCAGTGGGTGCTTTTAGAAAGGAACATTTAAAAGATAAAAGATAAGTAGCAGAATGAATCAATGAATTATGAATATTTGACTGCTATTGTGAGAATAACATGTAATCGAGCCCGTTCTCATCCCAAGGCGTCATGTACTGACGCTTTTGCCAAAGCGTCTACATCCAACGCACATGGCACCCTTTAGCGTCAATTTAACATGCTTCGTTTATGGGTAGGTTTAGGGCTGGGGTAGGGTTAGACCACTAGGAGGCGCCTTCTGGCCCATATATATCTGCGTCTCATATTGACGCTAAGGCCGTGTGTCCACCAAAGCGTTTTTAGCCAGCTGAAAACGCTAGACGCTCTGCTGAAGACGCCTAGCTGTGGGCGTGTGAGAGCGTTTTGGCAGAGCAGCGTTTTTGCCGTTGAGACGTTTCGTTGCTATGATACAGAATATCCGCACCACAGTTGTAACTGATTTCGCAGATAATTTGTTTCATACTAAAAAATAATTTTTCATCCATTTTGTTCGGTTAGCTCTGCTGGTTGATGTTGTTGTACAGAAAGAATGTTGTGACAGTTGGTCGGTGTGGTATTAGTCCCGCCCCTCCTCCACTGTGATTGGACGGCTGGGTAAAAAGTGACAGTGATGAGCGCTGCGTGAAAAAACCGCTCAGCGCCTCGTTACGCTCATGGCGTTAAAAAAACGCGGCGCTCCCATTGAAAACAATTGAAAACATACGCCAGGCGCGTGGAAAAACGCTTTGGTGGACACACGGCCTAAAGGGTGCCATGTGCGTTGGATGTAGACGCTTTGGCAAAAGCGTCAGTATATGACGCCTTGGGATGAGAATGCGTTGTGTAATCATCTAATCAATAAAAAAGTAAGTGTATTCCGATTATTTTAAAATGTAATATAATCTATTTACAGTTACTTAATTTTTGGAATCTGATTACGTAATCCAGACTACATGTAATCAGTTGCTACCCAGCTCTGCTTTAAAGTTACTTTTTCAAATGAATAACGCAAGTTAAGAAATAGAACTTTTAATCGTGTTATTAAAAATCAAACAAAGACGCCCAAGCAAGGTGAGAAAAAGTAACGCAAAAGTAATCTATCACATTACATTCTATAAGAAGTAACAGAATTAGTTACTTTTTAAGGGAGTATAAGTTACTTTTTAAAAGTAACTTTCCCCAACACTGCAGCTGAGAGAATGTGCACACAAACAGCTGGCTATCAGTGAGTTCTGGTAAAGGTCTGATCTGCACATGCGTGTCTGGTTCTGGTTGCATGCCTTTGTGTGGCTGCTATGAAACTGTTTCCTGGGTACAGCTCTCATGTGTTGTGAAGACAGGCGTGCATTTTTCTCGTTTTACTGTAAACGTCAGTATAGCAGGAAGAAGAAAAAGGCAAAGGGTACTGAGTACAAAATGTACGAAACTGTTTGTCAGAAGCACCTCACTCCTCTGTGGTGAAATGTTTTTTTCTCTCTGAACCAATACTCAAGATTTAAAATTGTGTCTGATAATTCCATGGTCGTGACCTTAAAGCATTTGGTTTGTGTTTTACTGCAAAACTCTGTAATAGTTCTGGAAAGGGATAATTTTGCACAGCATGAAACCAAAACACAAGTTTGTGTTTGAACATGAATGAATCACCGTAGTGCAGTTTTCAATGAAAAGGTGTGTACCGTAAAACGCTTCATCAAGGTCTGAACTCTTTTTTTCCTCATTATGACATATTTATTCTGCTAATGTATTGATTGTCACATGCGCATTGTCTTACTTACACAAATACAATGAGTCTCTATCACACTCTATATGCACATGGCGTGACTTTACAAATCTGACTGGTTTCCCAGCAGACTTCAAGTTCAAAAGACTTCGAAACAGTCACACCTCTTCCCTTTCGTCACAATCTGTACCGAGTAAAGCTAGACTCAGAGATAAAGAGATCAGCTGTTACTACACACACACACACACACACACACACACACACACTAGTCAAAGATGTGGACACTTGACTGAATTAATGATTCTTATTATAAAAGTTTTGATCTAAAGGCTTCTGCTTAATTAAATGCTTGAAATGAGTTTTCTAGACAAATATAAATGGGCTGTAAGCTAGATTTTAATTCAAGTTTTATTCACTACATAATTCAATTTGTGTTATTTCATAGTTGATGACTTACTTTTGCTATAGAATAGTAACAATAAAGGAACGAGTAGGTGTGTTCAAGCTATTGACTGTTCAATGTTTTGTAACCTTTTTGGGCTTAAAATGTGGATAGAATCTGATTATGTACTTTATACAAAAAGAAAATAAGGTTGAATAAGTTGACATAGTTGCAAAGTTACTTATAGTCAGTAGAATGTCTGAAGTGGACAATCGAACTTAAGTGTAACTCGAAAATAAAATGGGTAACACTTTAATTTTAGTATCTTTGTTACATGTACTTACTATAGTAATAACTTTAAATTAAGCATAATTGCATGCAACTGTCACTAAACCAAACCAAACCCTAACCATATACTATGTAGTTGCTTAATATTACTCAGTACTTAAATGTTTGGTTCCAGTGTAACAAAGGTACCTTAAAATAAAGTGTAACCATAAAATGTTATCATTTGTAATTACATTTTAATGGCAACATAACCGCTTATCTCTCCTCACATATTATATCTATGAGTTGTCCAAGGTTGTTCCTTTAAATACTGAGTAAAGCATTGACTGTAATCCCGAGCTTCCTCATATCAGTCAAAGTTTTACTGGAACGGCCTTGTTGGAGAGAGCGAGGGGAGGATCATTCCCGCTTGCTTAAGTGAATATCTCTGAATCAACTTTAACCCTTCCAGGAGAAGAGCTGCGGGAATCTGAATCATAGGCGCCGGCAGCTCTGATTCACCAACTATTTTAAGCGTTTGAGAAATGAAAAACCCAAGACATGGAATTCATTTGTACAAAAATAGTGCTTTTTAATAAATTATTGAAATGTTCTTTTTTATATATATAAATATAAATACGTAACATCATAAGATGTCTTTACAAAAGATAACCGATCTTCATATATGTAAACAGTGTCTTGTATGACAAGGTGAAACATGGGCGATCTTTAAGACACAGACCACTCATGTAATGTTAATACATTCAATAACAAGCAGTGTGGTTTAAACTGCTCCCGACACAGACACAAGCCACACACGTCGACTCTACAAAACACACAGACATTTTGTTTCAAAGTCTCGCTCTTTCAAGTACAAGTCATGTTTTTATACATTGTTCAGTCCTGGTGTGTTTTATCCGAACGGCTTTGACTCTTTTGTTCCCGGCCTCAACAGCTTGTGCCTCAGTAGTCTGCTGTTACTCACTTCTTCCCTTTTCCCCTTGAAATGCACAAATATTTACTTGGAAGAAGGCGGTGGCGGCTGGTTTGGGTTAAATGGCTTGCTGTCTCCCTGCAGATTCGGGGCAGTGCAGAGGCAGTGATTGGTGCCCACAGATACTGGCACTTGTACAAGCGAAGGGACAGTACAAATGTCCATTCACTGGCAAGAACGAGGCTTGGAGATTAGTCACGTGAGAATCCATCAGTGATAGTACCCGCCAACTCCATGTACTCATGGACAGTTCAATACTTCTTTGGCCCATCAAGCCTCCGAGGACCTTTGGGGCCTTGACTAGCTTCATCGCTCCCCGTTTCTTCCTTCGACGTAGCTCACAGATCAGTGCATCTCCATTGGCTAGCAGTTGTTTAAATGGGAGCATCGTACTCTTGTAGGAAGTCTTTGAGCTGTTGCGGCAGCTGCTCTTTCTTGTCAGAAACGTCTATATGTCCATTCACAGTCTTCCTGCATAGGTGTTGCAGGGAGGACATTATGCAAGGTAGGGGTCTTAAAAGCTCCAGAGGGATTTTCTCGCCCCCGGTGTAGATGTAGTACGCGCTTCTTGAGTTCCCAATGGACAGGGCGCTTCTGGGCGAGGGCATGTAGTGATGGACGAGCTTCAGCACGCAGTCGAAGCGTGGCACGGACTGCGTGCTCTTGGAGTCCGTCTGCAGGAAAAAGGACTTGCTGTCGCACTGAACCCGCAAGTTCTTGGTGCCCGACTCGGTCTTTACGCTAAGCGTGAAGAAGTGCCGGTTGTCCGAACTGTCCCTGACCAGAAAGGTCCCGCTAGTCTCCGAGTTCAACAGGTGGTTGGCCTCTTTTCCGCTGATGGACCCCCAGTAGAAGCCGCTCTCCTGGAGCATTCGGATGGCGTGTTGCACCATCTGGTATTGCAGCCTGGAGCTGAAGGTTTTGTAACGGTGAGTCGGCAGCCGCATGCTTGCGTCAAAAAGGCTGCTGCTCATTGCGTTGTCAAACTTGCTGTGGGTTACCATGGCCTCTCGAAGCTGGTAGCAGGAGCCTGTGGAGAAAGACTTCGATGAGTACCACAGGAAACACGCGTTCAATGAGTCAATGCGCTAGGGGTTTGAAGCCAGTTTTCAAACCAAGACATTTTAACTGTTCTATCATTGCAGATTGAAGTACATGTAGTAAAGATACCCAACTTATTCAAGTACAAAAATTATTTGATTTTGCTATAATTATTATTGGTTGACAACATTTTAAAATAATGATCTAATAGGCTAATAGCTCTTACTCCTTATATTGGCTGAACATAAGTGTCGGTAACACTTTATTAAACAGTGTACTTGTTACACATGTAGAACTAGTAGTAACTATAAATTATGTATAATTACGTGCAACTAACTCTAAACCTAACCCTATAGTAAGTACATGCAGTTAATTATTATTACTCATGTATTTTACACTGTATCACGAACACCTTAAAATAAAGGGTTGCACTTTATTTTAAGGTGTCTTTGTTAACACTGTAACAAAGTAATATTAACAAACTACATGTAGCCTACTTACTATAGGGTTAGGATTAGGGTTTGGTTTAGTTGAATGTAATAATGCACAATTTATAGTTATTACAACTAATGTTACATGCAACATAACAATGACATGATAAAATGAAGTGTTACCAATAAAGTGTAATTGTGTATATTATGTAGGAGTAAGAATTATTAAGTTAAGCCAATACAAATATGTCAGAGCTGGCACTCTGATTAGTTTAACGTTACCACGAATATATTCTGAAAACCTCTCTTACCTTTGAGTCTCTTTAGATAGATGAGAACTGTTTGTAATATCCACAGTAGTAAATGTCTCCTCAACTCGTGTCTCGTTAAGAGAAGTTAGTGTTTCTCTTCGCTGGCCGTGCTGAACTTCTGTGTTATTTGTAGTGCCTCCCCGTCGTCATGTTCTAGTTTGGCTCCGCCCAGGGTTCTTCCAGTAAGGGTAGGTTGTCAGTAATACTATTCCTGGTACTTCACATGCTCTTCCCCTCCCCCTCTCCCTCTCTCTCTCTCTCTACTCTTCCAGATCTGCCGTCTTACTGTAAACGTATTCCCTGACACAACACCTCCCCATTGTTGATGAACAGATACCGTTTCCTAGTAACAGTGATATTTGGAATTTCGAATTCTACACGAGTCTACGGGCACAAATTCCCGCCATGTGTGCATTCGCGCGTGTTAAAGCTCTGTTTAGATGATATACTAGTGTACAAAGTGTATGGCATTTAACATATTTGAGGCTAACAACATACTAACACGACTAGTGAGCTCTCTCTCTGACACACGAACACGATAATCTGAATGAACACGGATATCTATCCACAAGAGGACGCTAATGTTGTCGGCTTAATTTACTATTAGCCTATAAAATACTGTATAGCACAAAGCACACGTTTTATTTTAGCTAGAAACGTTAATTACTTATAATGAGAATTGCGCAAAGCATGTATTTTAAACAATGCAGGCATAGCCTAATAGGCTAATCATGTTTATGTCGCATACATATAAACATGTATTTACATGATATGCATCTATATCATATATAGGCTATCTGAAAGACTATAAAATACATTTTAAAAATACAATAAATATATAACCCTAATAGGTAATGACACAAAATGCTATTAAAAAAATCAGGAAATTCCAGTTTCTGAGGGGAAAAATTCATTGTAGCCTACTTTTCATTCAAATTTATGGCAACACTTTAAAATAAGGTTCATTAGTTAACATTAATTAATGTGTTAACTAACATGAACTAACAATGGGCAGTACATTTGTTACTGTATTTATTAATATTTGTTAATGTTAGTTAATACAAATAAAGCAGTTCATTGTTTGTTCATATTGGTTCATTAACTAATGTTAACAAATACAACCTTTGATTTTACTAATGTATAAGTAAATGTTGAAATTAATATTAACTAAGGTTAATAGACGCTTTAGAAGTATAATTCATTCCTAGTTAATGTTAACTAAGGTAGTTAACTAATGTTAAATAACGAACCATCCTAAGTTACCAAATCTATTTGAACACTTTCCAAACATGCCATTCACCTATAAAAGATTATCATAAGTACTCATTATAAAAAATAAAAATAAAAATCATCAAATAAGTCACCTTGACTAATCCGGTTTCACATAAACAAAACAGTCAACAGCATGCAAGCTCATTTACTGAAAACGCTGAACCTCCTCAGGCAGAAACATAAGCTAAAATTACCATGAAAATATGGGCAGTCAGGGCCGAGAAAAAGGAACAGAAACACACGCGTCTCGTTAGAAACTGGACAAAATATAGCATAGTGTATAAGAGTGTGTGTACTGGTCGGTTTTCCATTCGTCCTCACAGGGAAAACGGCACTGGACTTTCCAGAGCGTTTTCAAGTAGAGTTTTGCATAAAAAGGAATTAAAACACAACTGATGTCACAGTTCTTATTTAAAGAGAATACAACAGAAGAACAGTATCGTTATCGTTATCATCTTCAGCCATCAAGAAGATTTCCTGGTGTCAGTTTTCCTGCTAACCCAGATACACACACAGAACGGTCTGTGTACACCAACACAGAACAAGGCTTATGCGGGAACAGTACGGTAATAACAAGTCAGTGCACTTGCCAGATAGCATTTGCTCAGAGCAAATATGTAATGTTGATAATTGGTATATGAGATCCAGGAAGGGTTTTATTATATTTAAACAAAGCTAGTTTACCAGAGGACCGATGAGCGGCCGCTTATCAAGCTCATCTCGTAAAAGCACTCATTGCAGAGTAAAGGAGGGATATGGGTCAGGGATGATAAGAGTTGAGTAAAAGCTTGGAACAGAATGGATTTTTGCCGGATTGGATAAGATGACGTTACTGTAATACATTTCGCAGTTTTAGTGAAGATATGAGTTGGTAATTTGAAGGAGTTTCGCGTGAATGCAGAAATGTCCTCTCTCTGGAAACCTTTATCTGTTCTGCTTTCAGCTCTCGTTCTCTCTGACACTACACTAATAAAGGGAAGGTGATATCTGATATTACACATGCTGGGCAATCTGTAATCTATCCACTGATACTACACTACACTAATAAAAATAGCACATGTTCAGCCATTTTCCAAGAAACACATACAGTAAGTGCATATATACAGGAAGAAGAAAGTGATTTAAGGAAGTATTTATATCACACTTTCATAAATATGCTCTGGTGAAGCTTTATTCTTTTTATGTATTTATAAGTAGTATTTCCAGTTGTATTTGTTGTTTTGATTTAAATGCTTATATGTTTCAGTTGGTTATGGCAAAACAAATATTTTGAACACGTACATTTGATTACCACAATCATTTACTTCCAAATAACAAGAGAAAACAATTATAACCGTAAAAAAGTGCAAATTGATTATTTTATCCAATATATTAAAAAAATTATGCTGGACAGTGATCTACATACTGTACCATATTATTGTCCAAAGTGCACTTATGACTGAATTTGTGTTTCATTAAAACATTTTAGCTAACGTCTCCATCTTAAGTCACACTGTACCTTTAAGAAAATCATAGGCAACTAACATTTTATTATTTATTCACAGTGTGCAGGAAAACTTCAGCATTTTACTGCGATTTCCGGGAATATGGAAGGATTCCTGTTTTATCAGATCCATAATTATATTACAGCGTTCACAGTTTGTAATAGTATGTAATTTGAATAAAATTAAGTCGCTTATTTCCTTGTTTTAGTGTAGAATTGCTCTCTGCATGCAAAGAAAAATCCCCAGCAATCGTTGTTTCCTTAAGTATTGGGAACGCTGTTCAATCGATCATATTAGTACTTATTGAGCCTTATAATCCAGATAGGTCAAATATTTTGCAAGCCAACTTGATAATGTTGGCTTGTGTGTGTGATACGATCTGAGGTTTCCTGTGCCATCTGTGTTTCATCATGATTCATGTGTGGGGAAAACCTTGTCTTCAGACTGGCGGTGAGATTGTGAGCCGCTTATTAAAAGAAACCAGTCGGATTCACTGAAGCCATGTGATGTCTGATGTACTACAATGCTTTCAGACATATTGTTGTATTAAAAAAAGAAAAACATAAAAAAAAAGCTTGTGGCAGAAGCCCATTGGCATAATGGGATGGAAAAGAAAACACACCTACATGATGAGCTCCTAATTGTCCACACACTTCGTGTGAATTATGTGTACATGATAATGCTTGTCTTTACTGTAAGGAAGTGTCCTGACAGCATGTTGGGAACTCTTATCAGTTTTCCTCATTTCCTTTTGGAAATAGAAAACCGTTTAAAGTTAAAGCAAGAACCGTAAGAAGAAGATATTTGTTTAGCAAATTATAAAAAAAAAAAAAAAAAAAAACAGAAAAAAGGAAAGAAAATATATCAGCGATATAACATTAATAATTTACGATCGGTGGAATGTCAACATTGTATTGCTATCAAGTTGAAATCACCCTTGTTGATGATCTTTGTGACACTGACAGTGAGCAGGACGTGTCATATCACCACAGAATCATTGTTTTCTAGTTTTACTTTTATACTGTTACTTTTAGTTTTATATTTTAGGTTATATTTATTATAAATTATGACATTAAAACTATTGTGCATGGTATAATGGCATTAACCTGATGTAATGTGTGTGTGTGTGTGTGTGTGTGTGTGTGTGTGTGTGTGTGTGTGTGTGTGTGTGTGTGTGTGTGTGTGTGTGTGTGTGTGTGTGTGTGTGTGTGTGTGTGTGTGTGTGTGTGTGTGAGAGAGAGAGAGAGAGAGAGAGAGAGAGAGGGAGAGAGAGAGGGAGAGAGAGAGGGAGAGAAAGAGAGAGAGATATAATGTGTGTGTGTGTGTGTGTGTGTGTGAGAGAGAGATAGAGAGAAAGAGAGAGAGAGAGATAATGTGTGTGTGTGTGTGTGTGTGTGTGAGAGAGAGAGAGAGAGAGAGAGAGAGAGAGAGAGAGAGAGAGAGAGAGAGAGAGAGAGAGAGAGAGAGAGAGAGAGAGAATGTGTGTGTGTGTGTGTGTGTGAGAGAGAGAGAGAGAGAGAGAGAGGGAGAGAGAGAGGGAGAGAAAGAGAGAGATATATAATGTGTGTGTGTGTGTGTGTGTGAGAGAGAGAGAGAGAGATAGAGAGAAAGAGAGAGAGAGATAATGT